CCAGAGGCCCTGCTGCCCCCCATCAGAAATCTGGAAAGGCAAGTTTAAAATGTATTTATTTCTGTTTATAAATTGGTCTTGCTCATTTGCAGGTAAAGACAAAGGAGACACAGGAACAGCAGGGAGTCCCTTATCATTGACTGTCTCCAGCGGAGTTGTCTTGGCACAAAACATTTCCGTCCCCTGCTGCTGCAGCAGCAGCTGCTGCTGTTGCTGCTGTTGCTGCTGCTGCTTGTGCTTCTGCACCGTAAAAAGCAGGGACGAAGGCTGCAGTCCACCTGAGGCTGCAGGCGGGTACAAGGGGGGGAATATGGCATTGCCGCTTTTGCTGCTGCTGGCGCAGCTGCTGCTTGTTAGCGGTTTGCTGCTGCTGCAGGGTTTGTTGTTGCTGCTTCCTGCTGCTGTGGGACTCGCTGCTGGAGTGGAGACGTCGTGCTGCGACAAGAAAAGATGCAGCAGCCTTTGCAGCGCCGCGTGCTTCCGGAAAGGCTCTTCTAGAGTCTGCAGCTGCCGCTGTTGCTGCTGTTGCTGCTGTGTCTGTCGCTGCAGCTGCTGCAGGTCTTGTCTGTGCATGCGCGGGCTGCTGCTGTCCCACGGCTGCAGCATCAGCTGCTGCTGCAGCTGCAGCGCTTTCCCTTCCGGTGACTCAAAAATGCTCTCTCTAAGAAAATTGCCTACATCCCCGTTCGCAGCAGCAGCAGCAGCACCAGCTGCCGCTGCTGCAGCTGGGGGCTGCAGTAAACTTAATGGAACAACCCCTGCCTCCTCGGCTGGCTGCTCGCGGGCCTGCCCCGAAAGACGGTAGTTCGTGAAAACTCCAAGTTCTTGCTGCTGCTTCTGCTGCTGCTGCTGCACTTGTTGATGGCCGCAATGTTGCTGCTGCCGCTGCAGCTCCTTAAGGTCTAAAGCCTTCAGCAGATCGCTTGTCCATTCACTGAAAAACTGGTCTTGTTCCTGCTGCTGCTGCTGGAGCAGTCCCTGCTGCTGAAAAGATGGCTGCAAAAGCTGTTGGTGCTGCTGCTGCAGTTGCTGCTGCAGTTGCTGCTGCTGCAGTTCGAGCGACCTGCGGAGCTCCGTCGGCCAGTCCAAAGTGTTTTGCTGCTGCTGCAACTGCTGCTGCAGCTGCTGCTGGAGCTGCTGCTGCAACTGCTGCTGCAGCTGCTGCTGCAGCTGCAGCTGCGGCTGCAGCAGGTGCTGCTTCTGCGCCGGCTGCTTGTGTCGCACAGCCCTTAGGCCAGCCAAATTCAGTGCTGCTTGCTGCATCCCTTTTGCTGTTTGTTTGCTAACAATGTCATCGAAGCTTTTGGGAAAGCTGAAGCTCCTGTGGGCAATTAGAGAAGCAGGAACTGGGGGCAGCGGCAGCTGACACAGAGGATCTGTGCTGCCCCCGTACTCCGGCAGCAGTAGACTGTCGAAGCCTTGCTGCTGCTGCTGCTGCTGCTGCTCTGGGGCTTTGTCCGCGTCGTCCGCTGATGCTGCGCCGCGCATTAGCGGGTGGAAGAATGTGCAGTTTGCTGCTGCTGCAGAGGAAGCTGCCTTCGAGTCCAAAGACAAACGAGACACTGTTGCTGCTGCTTCGGACCCTGCAGCAGCTGCTGCTGCAGCACCTTCGTCAGCAGCAGGCGTGTGCGCAACAGCCTGCGGGGCCAGCGAGGCTCCCGTGGCAGCAGCCGTTTCCGTCCCAGTTGACGCTGCTGCCCCGGCAGCAGCTGCAGCAGCAGCAGCAGCAGCAGTTTCCGTGGGGCCCCTGCGCTTCCTCCTAAAGTTCCGGTGCTGCCTCAATTCCTCTATTCCGTGCGCGTGGCGGCAGCCATCTCCTGCAGTGCATCTTCCTTTTTTCCATCCATGACACAAATTCCTGAAAGCAGCAAAAATGACTTCAAACGGGCCCCCTGTGCTGCTGCTGCTGCTGCTGCTGGGCCAGCTGCTGCTGCTGCGGGTGGAGAAGGCCAGCTAGCTAGCATCCGCAGTAGGCCTCTAAAACTAAGTACTCTCGGTGGCTGCTGCTGCTAGACAAAATGCTTCTCCAACCAACTATTTGCATGCATAATTAAGGGGGCAGCCCCTTTCTAGTAGCTAGCCAGTGTCCCTGAAGTCCAGAGGCTACCAAGATAAGTGGCTAAGCTAAAGCGAAGTTGAGCCGCGTGGCTAACTGCCCAGATAGCCATCTAGCTAGCTACCTAGCTAGCTGGCAAGCTAGCCGACTAGCCGACTCGCCAACTTACCGGCAAGCTAGTTAGCTAGACAGCTAGCTAGCTAGCTAGCTAGCTGGCAAACTAGCTAGCCAGCTAACCAGCGAGCTAGCTAGCTGCAAGACTGACAAGCTATCCATCTGGCTATTTAGCTAGCTACCTGACCAGCCAGATGGCTAGCTAGCCAGCCTGTGAGGCTAGCTAGCTAGCTAGCTAGCCTCACAGCCGGCCCCTCAAGTGCACAGCTGCCTGCAGCGCGCTAAGTACTTCATCCGCAAAATAAACTCTTCTTCTCATTAAAAAATTACTGACCTAACTATTTCTTATTATCATGTTTGCTGCCTGATCTGCCACTAAGTCATTTAGCCGCTGCATGCTGTCTTTTGTTCTTTGGTTTGTCTGTACACTGCAGGTCTAGCCCCGCGGGCTGGTCAACTAGGTGCTCTTTTAAGTTAATTTTAAAAAGTGTTTAAATTAAGCTGAATTTAATCTTGTTGCCTGTGATTAAGTGCGTGGGGCTGCATGCATTGAGGCGTCGTTGGGGCTTAGTTGTGCTGAATTTCTCACGTTTTGTAAAGAGGCAAAGTGTGTTTGAGCTCCTCAATTGCATGCGCGTAGGCGCAGGCAGGGTCTGTACACTCGCCGTGGAGCTTCTTTTGAGGGCACATTCGCGTTTGGCGCAAATCCGGCAAAGGCCTCAAGTCCTCTCGGTCGTGGGCAAAGAGGCAGCGGCTTCCCCGGGAACAAGAGAGTCCCCGCTGCAGGTAGGGGCACATTTTGGTCTGCAAAAAAAGCCCCAAACGCATGCAGCCCCATCTGCACCCTTCAGCTCTCTCTGGGGCTTCCTGTGGACGCCGCAGCGCGCATGCATGCATGCGCGCGCCCGCGCAGCAGCCCCGAACAAGCCCCAGCAGCAGCAGAAACCCACGCATGCACACACGCATGCATGCATGCAGGCAGCATGCATGCATGCAGAGGCGCAGTCACATACGCTAGTGCATGCATGCCTCTGCACGCTCTGAAGGACAGCAACAATCCAAACGCCCGCCAGAGAGGCCACCCATTCCTGGGCCTCCACTTTTGCATGCATTTTGGGGCTTTTTGCCCGCAACTGCCGAGCAGCTCTGTGCAGCCGCAGCCAAACGCAGCCACAAGTTCTAAATGCATGCATGCGCCTCAAATAAAGGTTAGGTGCACTAGAACAAGTGGTTTTTAATGCATGCATGCGCCTCAAATTAAGAACAAAAACACCTGGACAAGTGGTTTTAGATGCATGCATGCGCCTCAAATATAGGATAGATACACTAGAACACGTGGTTCTAAATGAATGCATCCAGCACAAGTAAATAATGAACCCAGAACAGCAAGTGGTTTTGAATGCATGCAAGCTCTTCAAATAAAAAACAAACACACTAAAACAAGTGGTTCTAAATGCATGCATGCGCCTCAAGTAAAGAATAAATCCACTAGAACAAGTGGTTCTAAACGCATGCGCCTCGAGTAAAGGATCAACACACCTGAACAAGTGGTTCTAAGCGCGTGCATGCACTTTAGAGAATAAATGCTCCAGAGCAAATGTTTTTAAATGCATGCATGCGCCTCAAATAAAGAACAAAGCCACCTGAACAACTGGTTCTAAATGCATGCACTCTCCACAAATGGGGAATAAATGATCCAGAACAAGTGGTTTCGAGTGCATGCAGAATCGAAAAATAAGATATTAATTCATAACTGCCACAATGTGACAAAACGTTCATTCAGATCCACACTTTAACGGCGCTCCGCTGTCCATACACTGCGCGGCACCAGCAGCCCCACAAACGCGGGCTTCCATTAAAGCTCAGGATCTGTATGCATGCATGCATGCAGGCGTGCATGCATGCAATAATAAACGCATGCATGTATGTATGCATGCAGGTTGCTACATAGAACAGCACCTTTGTGGGCTCACGGAAAGACACTTCGTCATAAAGACTTGCACAAAAGACAGAGTGAAAAGTACAAAGATCCATGGCTCATACTCTGCATGCTTTGCTGCTGCTAGCAGTTCTGCTGCTGCTAACAGCTCTGCTGCTGCCAGCAGTGCTGCTGCTGCCAGCAGTGCGGCTGCTGCCAGCAGTGCTGCTGCTGCCAGCAGTTCTGCTGCTGCTTGCAGCCCCCACATACGCACATACATATATAAATAAATATATACATGTTTGAGACTGGCAGCAAAGTGTTGCAGCGCATGCAAACGCACTGGCAGATTTTAAAGCCCCCTTCAGCAGCAGCAGAAACGAAGAGCAGCAGCAGCAACGAGGTGCAGCAGCAAAACCCTTTTAGGGAGTGTTTAATTGATTAATTAAAAAGCACCTTTACGAACTGCGGGCGAAGCAGACAGGCCGGGGAAGTGGCTGCTGCTGAGTGCCTTGGAGTTCTGGGAGCAGCAGGAGGAGCTTCTGCTTCTGCTTCATTTGCATGCGATGCTTCATGAACAGAAGTTGAAGAGTTTGTCACCTCGGAGTCGGTGCCTGTCGGGTTCTGCTGCTGCTTCAGCTGCATCCGCTGCTGCTGCTGGAGTCGCTGCTGTTGCTGCAGCTGCTGTTGCTGCTGCAGCTGTTGTTGTTGCTGCAGCTGCTGTTGCTGCTGCAGCTGCTGTTGTTGCTGTAGCTGTTGTTGCTGCTGCAGCTGCTGTTGCTGCTGCCGCTGCTGCCGCAGCACTAACTGCAGCTGCTGCTGCTGTTGCAGCTGCTGCTGCTGAAGGAGCTGGTGGCGCTGCTGCATCTGTTGTTGCTGTTGCTGTTCGTGCAGCAGCATGGATTCTTGGGTCAGCAGCAGCAGCGCGGCGTCTGTGTCCCTGTCTGCAGCAATCGGAGCAGCCATAGTGGGGGTAGAGGCGGCCTGTGCATGCGTTTGAGCCATTTCTGTCTGGCTGTGGATCTGTACGCCCAGTGCTTTCAGACAACTGAACTGGAACCGTGTCCTAGGGGGTCAAGGCAGGGTGGTGGAATCAAAACACGTTTCGGCTGCAGCTAACACGCCACAACAGAGAACAAAGGGAGATACGCATAAAAGAAGAGAGAAACAGACTAAGAATGAGCCTTACAGGGGCTCCCCGCAAACAAACAAGCGCGAAATGTGCTCGCCGAACTCTTAGCCCTGCCTGCCAACAACGCACTTCACTTGGGGTAAATATGGGTCTAAAAACATGTATGGAGGACCTTTCCAGAGCCCAATCAGCAAATGAAATGCAAAATGCTGAGGAAATAAACTCTAGTTCCCGCGAATCTGCCACGGAATGCACGTGGGCTGCAGTGTCTCGACACCTCCCTGTCCAGGTGGACCATACACTCTCGAGTGGAGAGCAAAACAGAACCCATATACCTCATATATAGCTGTTTCAGTGGGTCAGAATGAACAACAGCTATTAAAAGTGAAACAAAAAGGAAAAAAAGCGTAAAAACACAGAACAGACGACCACAATGAACAGAAACGTGCAAACTCACGCCCTGGCCTGCTCTCCCCACCGCCCGCCAGTGTCTGCCGTGCGAGTTGCTCAGGCGCTCCCAGGGAGGGGGGAGCCGCAAAAAGCCTCCTTTTGTCGAATCCAATAAATAATTACATTTCGAAGTATCTTTAGAGCAGTGTTGCTATCCTGAGACGCTCTGGACTCATCCCAGATGCGCTTTTTTAACCCCCACGCACAGCATGGGCTGGACCACCGTTTTCTCCTGCTGCTACGGGGCACTCGCAGCGAGCCACCAGCCGCGTTTGCTTATTTTTTAATTAAAAAAACATATTATTCAGGCTTAATTTCACTTGAATATGCCACTTCTAGACGCAGAGTCCCCCAAACACTTCCTACGCAGCGCGCAGGAGTTACGGTGTACATAGCCGCAACACCTCGTGGAGTCGATGCAGCGCAACACAAGTTAGGCCAGGGCAACTTGGACTAATAAATACCATATAAATCCCAGACATGCATGCATTTTAATTATAAGTTAAGTTTAAAGCAAAAAAAATGCCGGCAGACTCGGGGACATCATGAAGTGCTGCACTTCACACTCCCTGCCAAGAGTTGGTGGGCTTGTCTGTTTTCGCTTGAACGAGTTTCACTTTCCCACATTCCTGCATTATAAACTGTGGAAAATAATATTTTTATTTCATGAGCCAAAACCCTGCAAATCAGTTCGTGTCTAGGGCTCCGTTCACCGAAGGGGCAGCGACCAGTGCTCTGGAAACTTGAAAATAAAAAGCAAGGATCGAAGTGTTAACAAAGGGAGGGCTTCAAATAGTGCTAAGTATGTATGGAATACTGGAAAATCCGGGATGTCAAGTTTTCGCGCCGCCGCAGGGTGCAATAGACAAAATGAAATTCTTGTTTTTCTTCCCTCAGAAGGTCAGAGAAGCTGCAAATGCTGTTTCTTGTGAGTCTTTTAAACATTTTCCGACAAAAATGAGATTTTAGCAAGCATAAAACCAGTGCGACAAGAGCAGCTGCTGTGGAGTGGTGTACTCCCGATCATCCCCCACCAAAATCTTCAACACACCAACCACTCCCTAGCATGGATGAATTCGCCCTTGTGGCCTTTTTTAAGTATCGTTAGTGAATGCCACCAGATGCTCAGCGGGTGCCCTCAGCCCACCTTCGAGTACACATGCGAGGTTTTATCCATTTGCTTCAGAAGGCCAAAAGATAGAAAGGCGAACACTTTATCAAGTTACCTGCACCTTTTGTGGAATAATTTGTAATAATGTGCCATTTACGGGGAGATTTCACTGGAGGACGGTCTACAACGGAGCCGACAGACTGGCCTTACATAGCTGCCACTGACTGTGAAGTGCTGAAATTGTTTCACTAGTAGCTTCCAGGTCATTTTCTGTCCTGCACCACTTCCGAGCGTTTTCTAGTGCCCCTAAGTTCGTGTCTAAAATAGGTGCGCCCTTTCATTACCTAACTTAAAGGTGTTTAAGGCAGGTACTAAAAGGGCGTTGAGGCCTACAATTAATGTTCGAACGCAACGCATAAGGATTTTTGGAAGCTGAATAGGAACCCCTTTAACTGGGATAAAAGAAACGTTGGACTCGATAGGTCTGCCAAGCAGCGCTTAGCTAAGGAAACCTATCCTAAGGTATCGCTGCCTGTGCGACAGATGTATATTCATTTCCGAACCTCTTCCACTGGCCAGTGAAACAACGCTATCAAATGAAAGAAAGTGCCTTTTTCAACTAGCGTGAGGTTTAGCACTGTAGGCCAAAATTTTATAGGAGCAAACAAAGGAGCGTTTAACTGACAAGTTGATGCTGAATTGGTGGAAAAAGGCCTCAGGTCAGAATTGTAGTTTGCGTCAACAGTGACGAGTGGAAGCCCAAACCTAGTGGTGGAGGGAACAATACAAAATCAAGCGAATCCAGCAGGCGTTTCAACAGTCTATTAAGTGCCCACAACAGTCCAATGACGAATCACGCCAAGAAAGACACAGGCTACTATGAAAATAAATTGATTAGCCAACGCATTGCAAGAAACAAAATATGCAACAAAATAAGTGGAGCGAGTTCTGAAAACAAACAAAGCTCGAGAAGAGTAGAGCAGAATCTACTGAACCTAGTTAGCTTGGGCTCCGCGCTGATTTGGCGGTTTTCTTAGCCGGAAAATAATTAGAGTATATTTTGGACATAATCTATGAATAAAAACGTATTCTCAGGGGTATATAAGCCGCGGTGCCTCCTCAGCAAATCGGTGATGTCCTACAAGGAGGGCTGGAGAGACCTGCGCTTTCCTTGTGGGCTCCTGACGTGCAAAAGCCCAAAAGCAATTTGGAAAGGCGGGAAATTTTGCATGGGAGTAGTAACCCGTGTTAGCCAGTGACAAAAGCCAAGGCATGCGGCGTTGGCTCTCTTTGCAACAGAGTAAATCACCGAAGCCAGTTATGCATGACTTGGCCGTTTGAACGTGAGGAGTTCAAAAGACATTTTGCATTCTCTGGCACATACAATTTGAAAATTTGAAAACTGCTATAGGGAGCTTTTGTGAATCAGGAGCCACTGACGAATCGGTGGGACAACACAGACCAGGACGCCCTCACGAAGTGGGATGTACCTCACAGGACATGTGACAAGGCGTTGAATGTGCGCCTTCAAAAGCTTCGGCGGTAAAAGCACAAGAAAATGCTACTGCCGATATGGGCTCTTTGGATGTATGCTTGGAAAAAACGAAGACGACTGGCAGATTCTGACCGTGCGGAGCTTGGGAACGTGTTATTCCAGGCTCTGGTAGGCGCGTGGTCCTCATCGTTCTTGCTGCGTCAGTTGAATATTGAAAATATGTGGAATACACTGTACGGGGCATCTAAAGTGATAAACAATTGCCTGTTGCTGCAAGTGTTCGCTATGGACTGCTACAAAGAGCATCAGTTGAGCAGATACCGTCTTCTCCGTGACGTAAGGGAAAGAAAGCTTGAGGCAGCTTTCACTGTTCCAGCGCCGCTGATGCTAGCCTGAGATTACCATGTGAAGGGATTGCACTTCAGCACTGTCTTGTGAGTGTGCGTATGTATACATATAATATATATATATATATATATATATATATATGTGTGTGTGTGTGTGTGTGTGTGTGTGTGTGTGTGTGTGTGTGTGTGTGTGTGTGTTGCCCATTACTCTCTCAGCTTAAACAGAATCCCTAAGAATAGATGGTACTGCTGGTAATGTGCTTCCAGCACAGTCGGACATTAAAGGGACAAAGGAAGATGCCACGTGACGCACACCATTCGCCGCATAAGAGATACTTTGTAATGAGCGAAGCACAGCTCAGTTCCCACGTCTCTCTCTATTTCTGGATATACGGGTCCACTGCTAGCAGTACTGATGAAGAGGGACACAGTTAGCCGCCAAAAGTATAGGCAGCATTATTGCGAGTCCCAACATCCCGGAGACATCTGCCCACTTCCAATGTTTCACTGCATGGGCATGCGGCGCACTGCAACTTCAGTCCCGCTTTCCAGCTTTAAACCCTGGGCTAAACTATAACGCACGCCGGGCCTTGTCACACAAGGGCTGACTCCCTCATTTTTATTTACTACGTCAGTCTATGTATTCTGAATTATATGACCCTGATGGCCATTTCTGGGCCAGATTGCAGTGCTGCGTTCTGCATGCCTGACTCATGATTCTTAGGCAGGCTTGCAGAATGGCGAGAGTTTGGAGATGCTCGACAGCTCCAAGTATGCCGCCAGACACTCCTCCGGTAGAAATGCGCAAACAGCGGAGACGCGGGCTAAAAGCGAATTGCAGAGATAAGTGGAATTCTTGCTGTTGTGCCTGGCACTTACCAGGCAGTGAAGATATCCGGGGATGCGACTCTGCAGGATTCGGAAGCTGGGCAATGCAGAAAAGGCGCACCTCAAGACAATTATGGGCCTTGTAACTTGACACAAATTCTGGATGATACTTCGAAAAACCTCAACGTGTTAAGCTGGTGGCACGAGGTGTTATCTCCATCAAGTTTAATTAGCGACTTTAGCACAGCAAGCCATCATGTTGCTGGCCGCAGGGCCGCCTGTTAGCGCAGTTGTCTCTTTATGGGGTAACTGCCACATGATGTGACTTCAGTGGGAGGAATGGATCACTGACTTGATCTCCCCCTTCGTAAAGGCATATAAAGGCCTAAGCAATGCAGGCATTTATTATCTCAAAAGCAAAAAGCTAGAAGCATGCAAGGATATTTAGCCGATGTTGGCGGCAAGGTGGTTCGTCATACCGACGTTTCCATTTGCGGCTCCCGTGATGAGTCAGAAAGAGGAATCAGGCACTGAAAACGCATTTATTCGATGGTGATCAAGATTCAGGAGCAAAGCTCGGCGACTATGATGCTTACTAGTGACAACTTACGAGCATTATAGCGTGAAATACAAAGGCTCACACGGATGGAAGTGGAACAACCACTTTTTCAAATGTGATTATGAGCAAGATTAACCTAATGCTTGGAATATACAAGATTCGTCAGCTCCTTCTTCACGGGTAAAGCCTCGACAAAAGCAAGCAGACGCACGTGACATTATTTTTGCGTGCACGCAAGTTATGTATAGTCCAATTCCGTGTCGCTTCACCTTTTGAGGGGGAACTGCAGCATATGCCTCCTACCAAAGACCTCCAGAAGATGTAGCACTTCTTTAACCAGATTGCTGAGGCGCTTGCCTGTATCGTTGCGTCTGGACGGTTAATGTACCATTCATTTCCAGTCTAGTTTTCCTGTTTCTCCCTTGATTTGATTGACAAGCACAGATGCGAAACTATACGTAGTACCCTACTGCGGCGCAGCGTGGCCCAGGGATTCAGTAGAGCCCTGGAATACTTTCAACAGCTTCAAGCTTCATGATAAGTTTTCAAATCCCCTCTTGTTAGAAGGCAGGCTCATCCACTTCAGTAAACCACTTCTTCACAGGCGCTATCCGCTAGCCAGTATGGTACCAAGTAAGCTCCTCGGCTAAGGCTTAGTTCTATATCCACATTGCTGTTGTATCTAATGGTAAAACCTAACTAAATGCTGTGGGGAGAAACAACAGAAAACAGATGAGACCTCTGGCACCATAAGCCGCCTCTTGCGCTCTAGGACATGTTTTCATGCCTTCCGGCCCCTACATCAGAGCGATAAAAATAAATCCAACTGAAATAGCCAAATTTTTATCGATTTGAAGTAGTTGTTTTGTGAAGTTCATCTTTTTCCAAATGCATCGATGAGAACTGTTCTAGGCAGTTCACCGTCTCTGGGGGCCCCAATGTCACATGCTAGGGTTGCTGCCAGCGCAAGTTATTGTCCTTCTGTCTGCTAAAAGGTTATTCAATTCCTTTTTATTTATTCCATAATATATTGGGATCTTCACTTTTCCGTTCTCTTTCATGTGGCTTTTTCCTTAGGCGGTGCGTTTGGCTTGTTTCTTGCTGTCTTTCCTTCTTTGTTGCGGCGACGCCGCCTTGTATGTCTTTTGCGTTGAGCTCCTTTATTTCTTCAATGCATTTTGTCCTTTTTTCTCTCTTTTGTTGCCCCAGAGTTCCGACATTCAACGACGCCACCCTTTGCCCGTCTGCGAGCACGAACGTGCACACGAATGTACACATACAAACAAAACTGCTCTATTCCTGAGTTTACGCACCAATTTATTTGTGTATTTGCATGAAATAAAGCCAGCGTGGCTGCTTTCGCAATCCCTGTTCAGCTTCGAGCTCATCTGGCTGAGACCTCTCTCGAGGTATTTCTGGCTTACATTCCCAACCCGCCTTTGTAGATCTTTGTGTTCCTTCTGCCCTGATCTTATTCTGTCTTTGTAGTCACCAGTCTTGTCGAACTTCCAGTGTGTTTCTTAGATTCCCCTCAGCCTTTACCTCTCTTGGCTTTTTCTTGTTTCTGTTCGTCTGTCCGCACACTTGTACAACCCCGAGTTTCCCCAGTCTTCTGCTTCAATTGCATTCGCGAGTCTTTGCCTCTGTCTTTTCTTTTCTCTTTTTATCTCTCTCTGCCTTCACGAACAGAAGAGGGAAATGCCTTTTTGTCAACTCTGCGGCCATCGCCTTCGCCGCCTCCTCTCGCCTCTTTGTGCGCTCTTTCTTGTTTGCTCTCTAACCCTTTATCTCCCCGCTTTCCCCATCAGCGTTACAAACAGGCATGTAGCTTTGACGCTTCCGCCAGGACCTGCTGCTCCACCAAGTGCAGCAGCAGCAGCTGCTGCAGCTGCTGCTTCTGGTGCTGCAGCAGCAGCATCAAGAGCCCCAGTTGTTGCTGCGCTGTTGCCTTCTCCGCTTGAGCGTCTGCATGTCTTCTCTGTCCGCCTGGCTGCTGGCCAGTTGCGACGGATTCGAGAGTCTGTGTTCCTGCTGCTGTCACCACGTAATTCCCCCCGCAGCAGCACCAGCAGCAACAGCAGCAGCAGCGGCAGCAGCAAAAATGCAGCATACGATTACTACTATCCCAAGGCCATTGCAGATTTTCTGCGGGCTTGCGTGGTCTACTATGTGGCGGACAAGAAGGGAAACATTATACCAGCCATCTACCCATCTGCACATACGCTGCAGCGTCCGGCGACAGCAGCAGCAGCAGCTGAAGCAGCAGCAGCAGCAGCAGCAGGGGCCGCTTCGTGCACACCCGCCGAAGCAGCTTTGTCTGTTGGCGTGTTTTTCATGAGCAAAGAAGATGCATGCGCTTACAGAGAAAGCATAATGAACGCTTTCTCCCAAGAGCCTCCGCATGCATCCATTTCTTGGATATCTTTGGCGGACGTTTACCCGTTGCTACGGTACGTACACCCCTGCGGCCGGCGCGCAGCAGCAGCAGCAGCAGCAGCAGCGGGGGAACCGGGCAGCTTCGTGGGGCGCTGCATGCAGCGCGTGCTGCTGCAGCTGCAAGGCCGCAGAGCAGCAGCACTGGCCTCCCGTTCAAAGTTCGTTTTGCTGCCATCTACTCAGACGCTTTCCGCCGAACTCAAAACAAAATCAAACTTCACCGGCATTCCCGTCTACTCCCTGCTTCCTGTACGCCGTGGCGCAGTTCCCGAAGCGATCAGAGCCCTCAAGCAGCAGCAGCAGCAGCAGCAGCAGGGAGGCCGGTATGTGTACAAACTGAGTCTAGTGGGGGGGCAAGGGGGCGCGTGGACTCTAGCTGTGAACTATAATGGGGAAATGCGAACTCCCGTCTTCTGCAGCAAGACAGACGCAGAAGCAGCACTAGCAGCATTTGCAAAGCCCCTCCCCCGCAAGCTAAAAAGGGACTTTGCATGCAACCTTATAACAGTGCAGACGCTCGAAAGCGCCTTAGACAGGCTGCCGCAGCAACCGCCTGCTGCTGCTGCTGCTGCTGCAGCAGCAGAAGCGAAAGGCAGCGCTGCCCCTTTCCCGCTGCTGCTTCCAGACTCGCAAGAACTTCCCCCAAACTGCGTATTCTGACCACTGGCTTCCTCCTGCGGTAGATATAAGGAAAGCAGCAGAGCTGCAGCAGTTAGAATAAAAGCAATGTGCCAGTCCAGGGGCTGCAGTAGCGCAGCAAACTTGCAGCAGCGCAGCAGCACGCAGTCATATCTCTGCATTTCCCTTGGCACTTTTCGCTCATTTGTTCACACACAATCGAATGGGGGCACTGCCCCACAGCCCGGCCCTGTGCAGATTTTTCACACAGCGGGGCCGCTCCGTGGACTTGTAAAAAAAACTTTCTGGAGTGACATGACTGAATGCTGGATGGCCTGAGAGCCCCAGCCAACAGTTCAGGCTTCGGGGGCTGGGCCGAACTGGCCAGCCAACAGGCAATTTAACTTGGCGGGAAAAATAGTTTTGGTGGCTTCTAGTGAAGCCTAAAGAGTGCCTGCCTCGCCGTCGAGGCAGGGGTGTATAGACAGTTCCCTAAGCTAGTTTCGCATTCGTTATTCGTGCATCACGGAGAACCGCTGTCCCTGTTTCCTAGGGAGAAGAAAGGAAGTGGCAGCGCATTTAGCCACCGAAACCGTAGAGGGTGCGGCCCTGCCTCTTGAGGGAGTACACGATGTCCATAGCGGTGACGGTCTTTCTGCGGGCGTGTTCGGTGTAGGTGACGGAATCCTTGATGATGTTCTCCAGGAACACCTTCAACACGCCTCTAATCTCCTCATAAATGAGACCAGAGATACGCTTAACACCACCTCTGCGGGCAAGACGGCGAATTGCCGGCTTCGTGATACCCTGGATGTTGTCGCGCAACACCTTGCGGTGGCGCTTGGCGCCTCCCTTTCCCAACCCCTTTCCTCCTTTTCCTCGGCCAGACATTTTGGTTTTCTATGGAACAGACACAACAGACAGTCTCGTTGTAGCCTCTAAATAACGGATGTGAGACATACGCGCGCCGATACCATCACGAACAACAACACGCGCACCCTGCACGTACAGTGGGGGAACATGCAGTCTCTGCGCAGCTAGCCTGCTAGCCCGCGCCCGGGCGAACAGCCGACCCCCAGCCTCGCTTGTTGTTTCAGCAAATAAAGCGCCATTGTTTTCCAAATATTTTATTCTCTATCCTAATTTTTTGCAAAATTACGCTTTAATAACAGCTTAAGGATGCAAGTAGAACCGACGGACGTTATTCACCGCCACCTGTGCAATGTACGGAAGTACACAGGGTGGTACAGGAGGTGCTGCAGCATCCCCGCGCCTCCTCCCTCGCTCGTAGCCTTTTGGTTAAAACTAATTCTTTAAATGTTTCTTCTGCCAACTGCCATCAAGTTTGTGCTTTTAGGACTAAATACATCCGTAGATTATTGTTCAGTCCCCGCAGGACTTCGTTTACGTCGCCTTCTGTATAACAACCACCCCCCACAGTTCAGGTCATAGCAACCTACTGAGACGTTAAGAATATGCCTGCATTTGTGTGGAGATATGCATTATTTTTTTGAATGTCTGAAGTGCTGCAAGCACGCATGACTATGCTTCGAAATTAACGGGCTGCCACCCGACAGGGTTTGCGCCGTTTAGGCTGCTTCTGCTGCTGCTGGCACTTCTGTCTTTGCATCGTTTAGCAATATAGTCGCGTGATAAACAGGCTATGTACAGCAACGATGAAATTTATTAATGACAACAGCACTGCAGATGCCATCTGACGGCTAAGTCACTGAATGTTGCAGTTGCAGTGGTGCAAGATGCATGCGAGAGCGGAAAGCCGAGCGCGAGAAGAAGGAACTCGAACTGTTAAAGTAGGAGGACCTTAGTGCGTCCCACTTACTGCGAGGCACAGTACAAACGCCGGGGACTACAGCTACGAGCTCGTTCGTTTGTAAACCCGGGGTGACGGAAGAATTGGCGAAAAGTGCAGTGGAGGTGCTAATCCACTGCTGCCCCAAATTCCCTTGAGGCCCTAACCAAAAAAGTGCGAGCAAATGCCCGTCTGTGTGAGTAACAGTGATTCGATGGTTTCACTTGCCAATGGCTGTTAAAGGCAGTCCAGCTCCTGCTTGCTCGAACTGCCGCCTTCCAAAAGCTCTTTACAGAGGTCCTTAACACCAGTGGTAATGGCAAACTCTAAATGTATTGGTCACACTAGCGGAAGCTTCTGGCAGCAAAACCAGTACGCCTATTGAGAGTCACACACATCCCCTTAGAGGGGAGCTTTTTGCATGCTTTGCCCCGCAGGTTGCACAGCATTTTGCATGATGCATGCTTTTCCCAGTAGAGAGTTCAGCTGCAGCAGCATCAGCTGCATGGGCTTTATATGCTTCTGTAACTGCTGCTGTTGCGTGGCTTTGAAAACAACAGGGCTGGGTATTCAAATACTCACTAGAACGCTGCTGTTACGATATCATCAACTGCGCGAGCAACTATTTGGAAAGGAAGAGGGCGGGACATTCAAGCACTTCCTAGAATGCTGTTGTAGAGATATTATCACCTGGGGGAGCAGCTATTTGTGCCGCTGTTTTTTTCTGCAACTAACCGCAGCGAATGGGCAAAGCAGCCACAATGAGTCGAGCATCAGCCGTTTCGCGGCGGATGGCTCACCACGACAGCAATAGCGGGTTCTATAAGAATTTAAAAAACAGAAAAAGCAACAGAGTCTCCAACAATGGACCAATAGATGTCAGCAGAGCAAACAGAAACCGCGAATGATTCAGTTTTACAGAAGCTATGTATCTCGAGTGTAACAAGTTCGTTCTTGTGCCTGTCACTGACGGTGACAAAGGTAACATTGCTAACCTCTACTGTTGCTACCTTTGCTGGTTTATTTGCTGCTGCATTTGCAGATGCTTCGTCTGGTGATGCGCCTGCCGCTGCTACATGCGGCGGCGCGATGTGCAGTCCGTAATATTAAAAAACGGTCTGCTACATCAAATATGACTGAGAAGCAGCTCAAATTTCCAGCAGTTGCTGCTTCGTAGCAGTATTTGCTACAGCTGCCGGAGCTGCGTCTAATGCTACCGTTGATAGCCCAGGATTCAGCGGCTTGGTAAGCTGTCCTGCAATCTTGGCGGCAACGGTTATTGCTTCATGTTGCATCTCTTCTTGCGGCTGTGAAGCCTGTAGCTGGTGCAATGCGTGAGAGAGCATCTCTAAACGCTGGTGAGACTGAGCCAGGACCTTTTGCTGTTGCTGCAACTGTCGCTGCTGCAGTTGCTGCTGAAGCAGCAAATATTGCTGAGCGTATTGACTGTCAGGTACCCGTGCAGGCGTCAGGTGCACTTGCAAAGCGTCATCTTCCAGATGCACAGAATTTTGCGCTTGCGCTTGCCCCTGCTGCAGTTGCTCTTGCATCTGCTGCTGCCGCTGGGATGTGGGCCGCTGTTGGAGCATCCAGCCCGACGGTTTTGGGAGCTGGAAAGACAAGTCAGGGGCTGACGCTGGTTGCTGGAGGAGTTGCTGTTGCTGTTGAAGCAACAACATTTGCTGTTCTTTTTGTTGCTCTTGCTGCAGGCGAAGCTGTTTCTGCAAGTGCTGCAGCTGCTTCTGTTGTTGCGACTGTAGCTGTTGGAGCCGGTGCAGTTGCTGCGGATGTTGCGCATCTTGAGATTGCAGGACTTGGCTTTGGTCCGGTTGCTGATCCCGTTGCAGCACTTGTTCCTGCTGCTGTTGCTGTTCTTTTTTTTGCTGCCTCTGTTTTTGCTTCTGCAGTTGCTTCCTGCACTGTTGAGCACATAGTTTTGCTTGCTGCTCCGCAGCTGCAGCTGCATGCGGAGCATCTGGGTACGCAAGCACTTCTCCTGGATGCTGGTTGATGTGCGCCCCACAGCATCTTAGCTTCTTTTGTCGCTGCTGCAATCCTTCCAAGGCACACTGCTGCTGCTCGGCAATGGGCCCATCTGACTGCTGAGCATGCTGAACGTACTCCTGTTGCTGACTTTTGTCCTTTGTGCGCTTGTGTTGTTGCTGTTGCTGTTGTGGGTGATGTTGCTGTTCTTGTTGACAGTAATGTTGCTGCCTTTGGTGCTCTTCCTTTTGCTGCTGCTCCCGCTTGTTCAGATCGAACGGCACATTCAGCTGCTGTTGTTGTTGGCAGTTAGCTTGAGACAGCGCTTGCTTCTCACAACTCTGGGAACGCTTTTGGCTGTTCTGTTGGCCCACCAGTTGCGGCTGCACTGCTAGCTTCTGTTGCAGAACCTGCTGGTTGACGATTTTTGCCGCCTTCACCTTCGTCAAAGGCACTGTTATAGCAGCTGCTGCAGGCGTGGTTGCTGAGTCAGCTGCCGTTGCAGGGCTTCCTTTTGCTTCACCTGCTGCGCCTGCTGCGCCCGCTGCAGAGTTAGGCTTTCCCTTCGAGGCAATCTTCTGCTTCTTTTTCATGTTGGGTTTTTGTTGGAAAGGAAAACAGTCGTCCGCGAGCCTTACGCTGCACCAGAAGCTGGTGCTATTGTTGCTCCCGATACTGATGCTGCTACTACTACTGGAATTAGTCGTGGAGCGTTGCTGTTGCGTTTTGAGCTCTTCAGTGCAGACAAAAGTTTTATGGGCCACACGTCTTCTGCTTTCAAGACTCGACGTCACTGGTTGACTGCGCATGGGTAAGCGCTTGGGGGAGGGCTTGTTCTCCTTTTCAAAGGCAGCAGCAGCAGATGCGGGGGATACAGACTTAGCAGACGGCATGGAAGCGGCAGGCGAGGAAGTAGCAGGCTTGGCAGCGACATCAGGCGCAAGAGAAACAAGCAAAGCAGTAAACTCAGGGAAAACGCTTGCATTGGTGGGCGCTGCGGCCACTGGCACAGTAGAGGGAGCTGCACGGTCGCCAGACATATGGACAGCGGCAGGCTCATGAGCAGCTGCAGCAGCAACAGTAAAAGGTACCCGCTCTTCAACATTCTGTTGCAGAAGCGCATGCTCAGCTTTTCCGCAGATGGAACGCATAGTGGGTACCAAGGCCTCATACACCTCTTTACACGCTGTCAAAGCAGTGGGGCCCTTATGAGTATCACAGCGATATCTGGCGCATGCTTTTGGTGACG